CAAAAACAAAATTAAGAGCAACTGCTATATAATGTGATTCTATCAGTGGTGAAATTCAATTTTTTTCACTACCGGTTCTGTGGGTGTGGCTTGGTGGACGTGGCAGGGGGAGGATACTGCAAAATCTACATTCCTTCCCCACTCTGGGGGCCAGCCAGAGGTGGCATTTGCCAGTTCTCCGAACTACTCAAAATTTCCACCACCGGTTCTCCAGAACCTGTCAGAACCTGCCGGATTTCACCCCTGGACTGTTCCCTTTCTGTGCCACAAAGGCCCCTCTACTGCTCAGAAGACCCCCCAGCTCTTGGGGAACGCTGGAAGCTTTCTGGAGAGGGCCCGCAGCATTCAGCAAGGAAATCTAGTGGACCGAGAAGGATTCTGAACTGGCTTTCTTGGTCACATGCTAGTTTTGTATGCCAGCAGGTGGAGAATTCATTTGGGCGGATTCTGTGGGTCAGCGAGGATCCTGGATCCTGAGTCAGAAGCAAAACTTGGCCATCCCAGACTTTGTGCCACTTAAACCAGGGTGCGCAAAGTCAGGTGTGTAAATTGGTTTCTGCTTCCCCGGAGGGAAGGGAAAGGAATCCCCAGAAATTCAGATTCCTGATCCTAGAAACATTGTTCCAACCTTCCCAAGTTCTAGAACCTGATCAGATAATTTTGTTTTCTGCAAACTTCTCTTCGGCTGTAGTAAAAGCTAAAACATCTTTGAGGGGTTCCCCCCCCCTCCTTTAAAAATAAAGGAAGAGGAGAAATGAAAAGGCATCTGCAGGTACAGAGAAGGAGGTGGAGACCCAAGACGGCCATAACTCACTTGGGTCCATCTCCACCAGGACCTTCCACTCTTCCATTTTGTGGAGGTCGAGGGCGTAGAGGTCGTTGAGAGTGAACTGGCGGTCCCCCACCTCAAACATGCCCCCGTAGAGGTAGAGCACCCCGTGCTTCACGGCCAGCATGGCATTGGAGCGGGGGCAGGGCTCCACCGGAGGATTGGAGGCTCCGTTCCCCACATCCTCGTCTTCTCCTTCCGATTCCGGGGACTCCGTTGATTTTCCCTGGGGAGCTGAGATCAGCTGCTTGACAATCATCACAGTCCCGTCTTCTGCCACCACCTCCTTGACAATCTCCACGGGTCCACGGGGAGGCTGTCCTTCCGCCTCGTCCCCTCCACCACCAGCCTGATGGGGCTCCCCTTTCGCTGCGCCTCGTCGCCTTCTCTTTTTCTCGGACTTCGACCCCTAGCGGCGGAGACAAGGGTCAAGCACCAGAAGGACACGAGAATCCAAGCCAAGAACAAGAGATGTTCTAAAGAACTTCCGAGAGCATCACCACCACCACCACCACCGCTCTTCTTCTAACGAGGCTACACTCATTTGCCTTGACTGATTTCAGGTTTCTGGGAGTCCCCAAAACCGACCCCCCCCCCCAAATCCTCAACGTCCATTTCAAATTAGAATGGACAACTTGGTAAGTCAGCATTTTTCTCCTCTGTTGAAAATGGAAGCTGAAGTAAACCAATAGCAATAGCAATAGCAA